TTTCTGGAATAACAGGCAAGAACCTGAAGTGTCTTTCTGCCATCCACATCATTAGCTGAATATAAAAACAAAAACAGAATAGAAAAATCGGCATTGAAAATGTAATATGCTCCTGCAGGCCTGATCTAGAGATGAAGAAAATGGAATACATGATCACCCTCCACTTAAAATAATGATTGGCCTGGTTATGGACTCAGGCCATCTACCCCATAACAAATTTTGTTGTGGTGTTTAGGGGGTGTGGGTTGGCATCTGCTAGCTCCATCAGCACTCAGAAAACATTATTTGTTAAGTCATGCCCAAATTTTATAGATCACATTTTCATGGAAAATAAATGCATCAGTTATTCAGTTATTATTCAGTTATTATTCAGTCATTCTGTCTGCAAGACATTTTTGGAGTATTTAAAGCAGAGGAGGTAGATTAGGAAAGAAAGGAAATTTACTGATGCATGTGCAATGCCTATGAAGGCTTCTATTTCTCCTGCACCTCCATTCTGGGTCATTCTAAACGCTGGCAATAGCTGCACAGCTGCTTCCTTTTGATAAATGGTGAAGTGTATTTAGCCAATTAAAAGCTGTGCAAACGTTTTACACATATCTTCCAGGAATTTGTTCTGCATGATGAATTTTTATTACTATAAAAAGTATTTATCAAATGATCTAGTTAAAAAATTCCTTAATGTAAACAAGTGCAAGGCTACAGAAATGTGCAACATTAACATAAAATGTGAAAGCAGGTAAGTCTTAACAATTATAGTACCAGTTTTAAGATGATCTCTGTGCCCTGCTGTCCACAGATGCCCATGTACACCCACTATAATCCCTTCTGAAGTCATCAGATAATTAGGGCTACATCACACATTTTGCATCACACAAAACAGTTTAATTAGCACACATCTTCTGGTTTCTAGTAGTGCTCATCATCACATTATTTAAGTACAAGACTGATAAATATCATCTGCAAAGCAAGACTTAATGAGAACCATCTTTATAGACAAGAAGCCTGAAAACAATGTCTTTTATCCAATTCTCTAGAAAAAAAAAAAATCAAAGTTTAAAGCTTCACCAACTTAATTTTGAAATAGTGTGGACTAAAGGAATAGTTGGTGTTACTCAATCTTCTGGCACCCCTTTGATTTTTCTCTGGAGTAGTCATCAAATAACAGCCACTCAATCCATTTAAAATCCATTTTTTCCAGCACAAAAACACATCCTGCTGTTGGTACACACCCACCCAGTGTTTCTTTTTAGCAAGGAGACAAAAGGGGCCTAAGTTAACTGAACCCTAGAGAAGACTAGCCACACAGGAGTTCAGACACTGGAGTTGGCATCACTTCATCCTAACATGTTCCCCAGTAAACCACCCCCCCACACCCCTACTTACCCCCCCTCACCCCCCCCCCCCCCCCCCATCCTTAGTCTTTTGTGGTTGCTTACCCTAAGGAGTTCAGACCAATAAATAAGTAACAACAACAACAAAAAAAAGCCAACAAAAAAAAACAGATGTTCCACTTCTGAAACACAGTAGCACCTAACATGTACTTATTTTAATCCACGTGACTTAATCATGTGTTTTTACAGAAAATTTATAAGCTTTATGGTTTCTGCATCTGAATTTAACACCCCATCCTCACTGCACTCTTCTCTTGCTTCCACTTCTTCCTTCCCCCCTTTTAAATATAAAAAATATTAAAGCATCAATTAGGAAAACCTTTGGAACAAAGAGCAGATGCAAACAGAATCATAGAATCATAGAACAGTTAGGGTTGGAAAGGACCTTAAGATCATCTAGTTCCAACCCCCCTGCCATGGGCAAGGACATCTCACACTAAACCATGCCACCCAAGGCTCTGTCCAACCTGGCCTTAAACACCGCCAGGGATGGAGCATTCACAACTTCCCTGAGCAACCCATTCCAGTGCCTCACCACCCTTACAGTAAAGATTTTTTTCCTTATATCCAATCTAAACTTCCCCTGTTTAAGTTTGAACCCATTACCCCTTGTCCTATCACTACAGTCCCTAATCAAAAGTCCCTCCGCAGCATCCCTATAGCCCCCATTCAGATATTGGAAGGCTACATTAATATAAGTAAATCGTAACAAGCCAAATATAAAAAGATATACAAGTCTTGTACAGCCATTCAGAACAGTTCACTTTGAAGCAATGAAACTATCTTTCAATTTGACAGTACTTTGAATATAAAAACTTGCAAAACAAGACTGAAAGAATCTAGGCGAGGACATCCAGTCCATCCTAATATATTAAGCATAATCTAATAAATAATTAAATATTTTACATTTAAGGGTCACAAATGCATAGGCATACACAGGAGAAAAAGAAAGGCATTCTACAAATGCCATATTTTCAGTATCACAGCCATTACTGTAACTGCACAAAAAAAGACCCTTCATGCCCTTCATGCCCTACCACTGTAGCAGAATTGAAGTCTTTTTTAACAGTAATAAAAAGAATGAAAGGTTGTTTTCAGAATACTGCGCTCATCATTAAAAAAAAAAAAAAAGAGAAAGGAATGAACAGAAGAGTTTGTAGCGCAACAGCTGAGCTCCACCAAACATACACTGAAACAAAAGGGTAGTCACAACATTTCCAGAGCACAATTTGTACTGAAAATAGAATGCAAACTTATATCCTCTTGTTTATTGCTTTTCCTGGTCTTACAAGAAGGAGCCACAATGAACAACAAGTGTACTTCTGTTTATAATACACCAGAACTGATTATAGACCAAATTCTTATACACTTTAATGAAACATCTGCCAATGCTTTCTAACACCTACAAACAACCTATAAAAGACACTGTTTACTGGCTTCTAGTGTCTTCAGTTAACACACTTTCACGTAAAAAGGTATACATTGCATATGTCAGTGTTAAGAGATCTTGTACAGATTTAGCCTATACTACAAAAGGTAGAAAACTGGAGGTACTCAGATGGCAAACTTCTATGGACATTTCAGAATAAATGTCTTACAAAGTGTATTTAGCACATAATGATGATATTGCAAGCAAGCAGATGATTGCATATACAACCCTTGTTTCTCTCAGTATTGCAGCTATCTTTGTGAGACAGATTCAGAGAAAAGCCTTACTCAAGCTCATGTGCTGCTATGAACAAGATTTAACTATTCTTTTTAGAAAAATATTTTCATTTTCTCTAAAAAAGGTGCTCTTGGCAATCCTTCCACCCTTCAGCAGGTACACAGTATTTATTAGAGCTACAGCATCATTTCTCTACAACTTCCCTTTTACGTTTCACTTTACTTGGGAAGAACAGTTTCACACAAGCCACTTCCCCATCAAGCAGAGGTAAATCCAGTTCTCTCTTGCAGATGCAGTCAACCAGAACACAGAAGTTTGCTGAGATAAAACATGACACAGTAAATGATGGCATATGACCTCTACCTAGTGATCTTGTTTGCTCACTAGCAGAAAGCTAGGACTGATTCTTTGCAGGGAATGATTTACACTCATGGGGCAGATCACAGTACATCCTCTCCAGCCCCTGAAAATGTGCTTCTGCAGCCACAGGAGCCAGTTTGCTCTACCAGTCTTTAAAACGTTGGAAAAAACTGCCTTACAAATAATGTTTATTTTCACTTCAAAATACCTCAAAAATTACAGAGCACAGACAGCAGCATGTTAAAGAAAAGAAAAATTATAGAGGTTTCTGATTTTGGTTGGTTTTTGGCTTTGTTTTTTGTTAAAAAAAAAAAAAAAAAAGGAGAAATGTGGAATTGTGGGTGAGAAAGAAGTCCAACAGCTGTGATTAGTGAGCTGTGTGTTTATACATCTTTCAACATTATACGAAGCACTGGGCGAATTTCAGACTGCCCCAGATGGCAAAAGTCTGTTGAATGAAACTTGTTGACAATGTTGTTAAAATAAAAAACTAATATTTGATAGCAAAAAAAAACCCCACAGCATGTTACAAATGTCAAATTTGTAATTTATAAAATTACAAATTATAAAGCAATGTACAGGGATTCTGGACTTGAATTTCGGTTCATAACCCAACCATCTGTCGAACACTTGTGTAGCAAAAGCAACATAACGTGGAAATCTCTTAAAGGTCAGCCAAACCCCTTCCTTCAGCTACAGGGTTTCCCTGTTTACGAACACGCCCGCCGTAATCGCACTCTGCCTGCAGATTAACCGAGGGGAGATGACACTCGCCACCGGCAAAAGAAAGATTGCAAAGGCAACCCTGTCAAATAGGTAAAATGAACGGGGTGCTCAGCTCACGGTGAAGCTGCCTGCAAGAGGCAGAGGGAGACTTCGCACGCCGGTACTGCCGAGCCGCGCAGGGACCCTTCGCCCAGGGAGGTGGGTGCGGGAGATCCGGTGCACCCAGCCCTCAGCGGCCGGCAGATTCGAGCAGGGCTGTTGCCTGGGGGAGAATAGGGGGCTGCACCGTGCACCCGAAAAGTTAAACCCACCGGCGCGGGATGGAGTGTCTGACGCCTCTCCCACAGCCGGGATGCTAAGCCGGCGCAGTCCGGGATCGGGCAGGGCTGCGGGTCCCGCATCTCCCCCAGACACCCTCCTCGTCCAGCGGGGACTCCGCAGAACTGCCCGCTGCTTCCCGGGAAAAAATAAACAAAATAAATGATAATGTGAAAAATAAAAAAAAAAAAAAACAACTCCGAGGGGGTTCGCCGAAGTGGAAAGTCCCCGGAAAGAGCCGCCTCGTAGCCGAGGAGGGAGCACGACCTGCCGGGGAGGCGCAGCGCACTGCACCCGGGACACGGGGCTCCAGCCCCACCACCCCGTCCCGTTACGGACCGCCGGCGCAGCTTCTCGCCCCTGGACACGGCTCCCTACCCAGCCTGAACACTAGTTGCTCCACCCACGGTGAAGAAGTGGTGAAAGGCGCCCTGGGGCAACAGCGGAGCTCCGCGGCACAGGAGCCCCAGCCGATGGGTGCTCCCCCCATGCATGGGGCAGACCGGGGTCCGCCCGAGCAGCCATCCGCTTCTCACCTCTTTAAGTTCCTTGGCCACGTCTTTCAGGTCCCCCAGGACTAATTCCAAATCCTCCACGATAATCTTGATCTGCTCCTTCACCTTGGTTTTGGAGGCTGCCGGCGGCCCCTCGGACGGCGACGAGGAGGAGGATGCGGTCCCCTTGGACTGGGCGGACATCCTTCGGGGCAGCCCAGCGCGGCCAGGGGGGCACAAAGGTCAGGCGAGCGCGGCTACCGCCGGCCGCCCGGCCTCGTCCCTCCGGCTCCTGGAGCTACTGCAGCTGCTGCTGTTTCTGCTGCCGCCGCCGCCGCCTACCCGCCCGCGCATCCCACGCCCGGCGCGTTGAGCCGCGCCGCGCTCCGCCGGGCGGGCGCGCTGTGCAGTTGCCATCAGCTCCCGGCAGCGGCGCGGGGGCCCGGCTGCAGCCCTCCCTGCGCCGCGCCTGCGCCTCGCCCCGCCCGCGCCACCGCCCGCTCGGGCCCCGGCCCCGGCTCCGGCTCCGGCTCCGGCTCCGGCTCCGGCTGGGGAAGAGGGGCCGAGGGAGGAGCGACGGGCACCTCACTGCCGTCAGCATCGCACCGCTGTGCTGCCCGGGGAGCGGGAGGCACGGGGGCTCCTCCTTGGAAGAGGTACTCTGCGCCCCTCGTCCCTGCAAGACAGCCCGTAGGGCGGGGGCATGGCGCCGCGTTTGGCCTGGAGCTCTCCCGGGGATCCCCGGTCGCGGCGGCCTATTGCACCAGCTCTGATGGAGAAGTGTTAAGCGCCCGTCAGAACAGCCCCCCCAAAAGGGAATCGGTTTCAGTGGCTGGCGCATTGCAAAATTCCTGCCAAAGGAGACAACAGAGCCTGTTCCTGCTAAAAAAAAAAAAAAAATCTGCACTTGTGAAGTAACCCTTCTGGCTGCTCTGGGGAGCCCCCTGCTCTCTTTGGACTTTCCTCCTCAAAGGAGTCTATAGGAAGGTGTTTTGTAAATACCACCGAATTGGTAAAAGGTTCACATCTTTGCCCATGCCTGCAGATTGCCCTGCAAACACTTATTAGTGATCAGTAGACCCTATTCAAGTTGCATTTGATCAGATAGAAGTAAAATGCACGTGAGCCAGAGCAGCTTTTACAAGCCATCTTGCTACTTGGCTCCCTGAGGCAGAGGCCTGTGCTGCATTTTGAGCACACACTTTCCCTAGCATTATTCAGAGATCAGTGTGGGGGCCAAAAGGAAGAGATTGCTGGATGTCATTCACCTCGGTGGTTTTTCATTTTACTGCAAAAAGGTGGCAAGTTCAGGAATTCTTAAAGCTACCTCCCAGTAGCTATGAAGTGCAAGAGGGCATGCAGCCAAGCCCTGCTTCGAGGATCACCCGGCATGGTTGCAATTGGCTTTTGATGCTTTAAATGCTTCCAAGAGTTTTGGCAGCCTGAGATGTTTTAACCTAGCTAAAACAGGAGGAGAAAAGTAGAACATTTCCCAGACTGGTGTGTCTGCACATGGTAAATAATCTCACTTGGTGACAGAGAGTTTTTCTCTGGAAAAGGTGTGGAACGGGGATATGAGTAGACAAGGGCTGACAGCACCTCTTACTGTCTTGGGTTAAGTGTAATTATCTCTGCACATTTTACCACTATAAAACGGTAATATGTTACCAATGTATTACCATTTACATAGTCAGCCAAACACCAAACAATGGTGTAGTGTTAGACTGAAATAATTTGTTAGTGGGCATATATTGTATTTTTTCCTCACCAGGTGTCTCCCAGTTTCACGTTTTTTTAAACAGTTTCAAGGAGGGCAAGTTCAGGAAGAGCCTGTGTCTTTCCTCTTGATTTCCCTTAAGTCTCATGGTAGACTTTTTTCATCTCACCAAAGCAACAGTTCTTCCAACACTGACTTTTAAAAACATTCCTACTGGTTATTTTTGCTTAACTGTTTCTGTATGAGCAACAACATCATATGATTTTTGGAGCTAGCTAAGTAATAGAGTCTGAATTTCCAAACTGCAGTCACCACTAAATTAGGAAGAAAGCAACCCACAAGTTGTTGAGTAAGTTTTAATTCATACATGGCATTGTATGAACAGAAAAAAAAAAAAATTATGAAGAGCTATCAGTGAAATGTCGATGCAGCAGCCAGCACGTCCCCAGTTTATAACTAAAGGAAAAAAGGTCTATTTTCTGACACCATTGAAGAATACTGTGTAACAATACACTGTACATACCTATACAAAACATAGCTTAAATAGGTAAGGGATGGTTTCTACAACATTTCTGTAGAAATCATCAACATGGTCACAAAATTACTACCAGATTTGCTACAGACCCTCTATAAATACTGTCTAGCCTAATTGAGCATTCATTATTATACAAATTTTCCAACACAGTTTCTTACTTTCTTACTGTATGAAGCTGTGGCACCTCTCGCATACTTTAGGAAGGGAAAACTGATTCCTGTTTTACCTCATCAGTTAGTTTGAAGTCATAGAAAGATTGCCCATGATCCTGTGGTTATCCTGTTTCCTTAATCCTGCAACAGCATTGGAGAATTCCCAAACTTTTGAAGATGTCCACTTCACCAATCCCTTCACTTCTATAGTGACATTCTTCTAAGGTCTCTGCAGGATTATGTAGTGGCTGATATTTTGTATTCAACCAAGTCTCTACTGCTTATCCCTGAAAAAAACACTGACAGCTCTTCTGAGTCCTGAGTAAAGTTCAGTGTCCTCTTGATCTTGAATGCAATTTTATGCCTTTAAAAAATGAGCTCTACCATGTCTCAGTTAACTAATCAGTAGTGTCCCATAGCATGTAGCAAAGCTATCTACTAGTTGTTCTATTTCTTTTGCTTCTGTATCTACAAGTAAATGTTATTTATTTTTGGCAGTTTATCCTTTTTGAAGCCTTTCCGTCTGTACCTTCGCTAAACGCAAAGTGGCTAATCAGGGAAAAGAAGGGTAGCTCGTTACTGGAAGTCTGACTTCTGTAGACTAAGAAGATGAAGAGGATGCACAAGAAATCTCTGCAGAAATCTTGGGGGATAAAGGTATTTTTTAAGTAAAAGCTTAAATGTCTTTAAAGTGTGGTTCACTGATCTCCCAGTAACACCTTTTAATCCAGAAAAAGCACTCAAAAAAAAAGGCAACACACATTAAATAAATTCTAAGTGAAGTAATGTGGTGCTCAACCATACCATTGCCAGCTGTGATCTCATTAAAGATCGCAAGTTGTCTAAGGCTTGGCCTGATCAGTAATTGGAAAGGACATGTCTCAGGAAAATCTCTCAAGATGCTGCAAAATTTTGTTTTGGTGATTCAGTAGATGGCACTTTTCCTTTTGGAAAAAATATCCCGTATTCAGTCCAGTGTTACAAACAGAATGAACTGAACACACACAACCACACACAGATCGCAGTCATTTTATCATATTATTTAATTTATACTATTTATTATATGTGTGGAGTCACAAAGAAAGTTGGCAACTGTGCAGGAAATCATTGAGTGATCATAAAATGTACATGAATCACAGAAATAATTTTTCATGAGAATCACCCAGACCAGTCATGTCAGTAATTAGTTTTACCTTTAGTCACTTCTCCCTTATTAAAAATAAAATAATTTTTTTTAAAAATGCTTACCTACTGGCAAGGCCTTGATACCGTTATCATAAAGCTTTCATATATATTCTTGCGTGAGAATAGAAACCAAATGAGCACTTACACAAACAATGTGTGTAAAACTACATCCCACAGCTACATCCAACTTTCCGCAAGTCACTAGTATTCCAAATAGATTAATTAAAAATTAATTCCCTGTTGCCTCTTGAAAGCATTTTGTTTGGTATTTGGACTATTTATCAAAAGTAAAAGTTGAGCAAAGTCTTCTGGGCCAAATGACATTTTTAATCCAAATGTTCGGATTGTTTTTTAAAGATTTTCAAAGTTTCCAAACAAAATCAAGGTTTTTAAAAGCAAACAGATACCTAGCTGAACTAACTAATTCTGGGAATGGTTAAATATAACCTTATTTTCCCTCCCTCTTTTAAATTTGTCCCTAAAGGAAATATTCCACATACAAGATAGGGAAGCACTAAACCGGTGAACCTGTTTTTTTCATCCCAAATGAAATTGTGAAAGAAAGCCTAATTGAATTGCTGCAGGTTTGTGTATTGGACACTTACTAAATTAAATACCTATTTCAATCTTCAAAATTAATCATAAGTTAAATTAAAACAATGGGTTAAGCTATAGTACAATGCCAATAACTTCTATTCCAGGTACTTATTAAACACAGGTTTCCATCTTTTAACTTTTCTAGCCTAAAAGAAGAGTGGACTAATCTCTTTCCAAAATGTTCCCATGTTTAACTGAATATAGTGCTCTTTTCTGAATTCCTAAACAATTATTTAACAATTGTGCTGAGGAACTCACATCGGCTGCTTACACTCCAAACTATAGAGTTGTAGTTCCTTTGGATGGATGTTGAAAGACTCTTCAGTTAAAGGGAAAAATTAAAAGTGCTTTATGAAATGTGGTATATATATTAAATGACATTATGTTATTTCACTTATTTAAAAAGTGAAAAGAAAGGAAACTCAGGAACTCACAAAATAAACTACATACTTGTGAGTTAAGTTGGTTGTTTCCAAACGGTAACTAGCAAACATAACAAAAGTCAGTGTTAAGGCAAGGTGACTTTATGCTCTAAGTTCTTGTCTTATTTCTCCTACATTTTTCTTCTTGATACTTATTTAAAATTGTATAGCAAAATACTATACATGTGTGGTATGAATTCGTAATTGCTTTGATTCAAGTACACAATCCGCACATATTTCCCATAAGGATTTAAGTACTGGTGAAAGTTTTCTGCAAACTAGCCCCTCAGTACCTAGAGAAAGAAATGGAGCATCTTGCATGAGTATCAGTTATACCTGTGACTTCTTTATATTCAAAAGAGTCAGTTTTCAGTGTAAAATTCAAGAGCCTATGAATTTAGTAAAAGAGGATGATAAAACCAAATTCAGTCAAAATACAAATACCTAGAGGTGATGTGATAATATGAACTTTGTCCAAGTTATATGAGGTTTGTCCATTCATATTATACAATGGCATCTAATATTGTGTAAATAATTGTGTGTGCAATACTTTGACTTAGTAATGATGCACTGGATAGGCAAGTAAAATAAAAAAAAAATTATTTTCATGTATGAAAAGAAAATAATCTGTTATTTTAGAGTATGGAAAATATTAAAATATGCATACACATCATTGAAAGATTCAGAAATGTATTTGCTCTCAAAATAAAAATTCAATGTCCACTTTTTGATGGAAAGAATTAACAAAATGACTGTACATATAAATCAATAGAATAATATATATGATAAAAAATAAA